AAACAGAACGAATAACAAGCACGACACACCCACTCCCGACGATAGTGAGGATTTCGGAGGCACAAGCGGAACGTGGTTGGAACACCACCTTACTGTCGGGGAGCTGCCCAGCTTGGGCAGGCGGTAACTGTCCAATGAAGTGCATAGACTTCATAGACTTCAACCATTTTCAGCCAACTGCTTGTCGGTTATCGATTCCAGTTTGTGACTTGGGTAACATGACTGCATAAGCAAACACGATAAACCTCCTGGCTGGCTACAAAGCCCATCAGGTAACATGAGCAACCGATCATCATTCTGTGAAACTTTGAGTTGCAAACCATAAATCAGCGAAGTACAATACAAACCCTACTGTTAATATATGTGTGCAACACTTCCTTAAACGGTAGCTGAGCTGCGCACCGTCACCTAAGGCCGGGTGGTTGAGTTGAACCTTGAAACCTCATAGAACAGTGCCTCGGTAACAGCCACATAAATCACTCGACTTTCAGCGGGTTGAGTACTGAATCACCTGGTTGTTCAAGTTGGTTCGTCAAACCGAACATGTATGTCTAGTCTACGCTTTAAGGGATATTGCCTGGGCCGTGCTGCGTGATATTCAATTCAAATATTTTGGATCTTGGGTAGATGGGAAGCTGATTGGGTTTTGTTGTCTTCGTTTTTTGTCTGTTTTCTTTCGTCCGTTTCTCATTTCTCACCGAATTTTGGGTTCACTGTGTGTGCGTGCGTGCGCGTATGGCAAAATCACGCGGTGAATTGAAACACCTACTTTCGGTTAACTTGTTCCATAATTCGTTCCCTTCTAGACTAATTGGATGGACGTGAAGAGTTATGCCAACTTGTACATACATTGTCTTCATTCCACCAGAAATGTTACTAGTTAACTGACGGCCAGATACACATAACTGAATGGTACAAGCATTTAGGCTGGTGGTGGCGCAGTGGTTTAGTCGCTGTCACAGGCGTGCTTTGGACCCTACGGTCCGAGGTTTGAGCCCAGCCACTGCCACCCGACTTTGGTAGTAGGCCGCTCTGCTGTCGCCCGGTTCAATACCACGTCTGACCTATCAGGGCCTTATGTGGTTCGCCACTCCAAGTCCCGGGGCTTAGGTTGCCGGTTTCCACCAATGAACAGCAGGTCCTCGTGACTATGGGGTTCGCCCTATCTGCTGTTCATCACACCTAGGTGTGTAATAAAAAAAACATGCAGGTAGATAAAGGCAATAATAATCGGCCACATTTCACCCAACAATCCTCGTTCACTCTCCCCCTCTTTATATCAAACTACAATGTAGAAATGTCTACAACTGGATGGCAGCAATTGCCACCTAGGGAGAGTTTCCGAGCACTCCTGATGAATTCTCAAATACATTAGATAATACCAAAAAAATGATTAAGCACACGGTTAGAAAAGAAGGCCGAAGAAATTGCACATTGCCTATCTCCAGTCTGGTCAGTACGCACGCGCAATAACCCTACCCTATCTGTGCTGACCGCGTTTGCTATGTTCTTTGTTGACCGTTACAACGTTGAGTAGGAAGTGTGCGTCGCTCGCGAGACGGGTCAATCAGACAGACTTCATGGTGTTATGAACCTAGATGTACTGAAAATGAGTTGTTTTAGTGGAGGTTCAGTGCCTATCGCATTAAGTAACACAAATTGGTGAGATATTGAGACGGGTAGTGCATACGACCGATTGCACAATGAACTCGATCTAAAATTGAACTCAAGGCAAGTGGTGGAATTAGCCCCACATCGCTAGGAAGCTTCTGCGAGCGGAACAATTTCATTTCATAATCTTACTTAATTTTTCCCTAATGTGGAAAGAAATCATTCTGCTGAATTTTTCTGATACGTGTAGTTGATGATAATCAACTAATCTCTCGACCGTACCAGAGGAATCACAAACACCTGACTTCTGATATAATGCAGACGCGTTTTCACTGTCACTTACGGAACGAGTCGCATGCTCTCCCTTCCTACACAATCTAGACAATTAATGGGAATTGTGTCTTGCACGGTCCACTTAAATCTCTCTCTGAGTATATATCTTGAAGTGATGCAGAGTGATACATCCCGAATCCTGAAATATTTTAATTATGGGTGTTGTGTTTGTTTTTATGCTT